TATGTAACTTAAAAACCCCCCCCCCCCATTGATATAGTGGCTTCTTATTCCTTAAATGTAGAAACTCCGCTCTTCACTGTAGAAAGATGAAGTCCTCTCATCAAAAGGCACATTCTTATCTGTAACAACAACAACAAAAATACTATAAATGCCCCTTCTGGAAAAAATTTAAATACATTTAAAAATATTCAGAAAGATCTGGAGAGGAGGAAAGAATATAATCAAAGTATTTAATCTAAATAAATTATAATGAAGGATACCAATAAAGCATAATTATTTTGTCTATGTTAATTATTTCAGATACTATCTTTTGAGTTATTATTCTAACTTTTTCAAAGGCATTTTTACATACCTATTTTGTGAGCAATTAAAGACTATGCTATATTCATAACAAAGTTATATCCTCCTATAATATTCATAAATGACTTTAATTGACTTAAGTATACAATATGGCTATTTATTTTTATAGTTTCTGTAAATACAATTCTTTAACTGATCCTGCTTCTCAACCTTCAGAAATTGGGATTAATTAAAGCTGCAGGCCTGAAAGTATACTGTATGAAATGAAAAATGTTTTCAGTATTTATAAAATGGTAACAAAAATTATCTATATAGAAGACAAAATTTTCAATAAATACATAAAATGGAGATTGCCCATTTTTCCCTCTTATTGACTGGTTATAGTAATATGAAGCTATATTTTCATCACAAATTTTTATAGAACTTAATTCTGATTATACAACTTCCTTTAATATTACTTAATCCAAATCCTTGCTTCCAAGAAACTGTTGCTGAAAAGAGCCATCACTACTATCAAAGGTATTTAGTCAAACCAAAAGAATAGCCAAAGGTGTGCAGGCTTTACAGACTTAGTAATCTTCCTTCAATAATCCTTAGTAACATTTAGAACTTTGTTAGAGATAATGTCTGAGAATGAGTAATGCTCTTTTTCATCTTGTTGTTTTATCGAATCTTTAGTCAACAATCTATAATAGATATCGACATGATTAATATAAGCTAATGAACTCATATATTTTTGAGAGTAAATTTAAGCATTTAAAAATAATATTAGGGCTATAAAAAATGTAACACAGACATCATTTTACATAATTATTCTTTTAATGCCTGAAACTCGTGATCATTTTGATAATTAATTTGTGATAATGAATTTATGAAAAAAAAATCAATCTGTAAAATCAAAATTGTATAATAGGAAAAGAACACAAAATAACTAGAACCGAATCCAAACTCTGTCGCTAATTAGCTATTTGAACTTGGACCATTTATAAGAACCTAAGAAACATCTAAAATCACAGGATGGTTTCTGATGGAGAAGTATCTAGCACATGAAGAATCTCAATGTATGGCTTAATGTTTTGAAATTAATAATTAACCTCAAAACATGTGAATAAGCGTAACTGTCTATTATAATCTACCATATTACATCATGTCCAACATTTTCTTGAACCTATTTATATTTTACAAGTCAGTAGAACCAGTTCTCCCATTTAGAGTTTTTAAATTCCTTGAGCTGGGATTGCCTCAGAATTCTACCTACTATGTGCTATATGGATCTGCCATTCCTCAGTCCCTGCCTGGCATGACTACATTACAGACCAAATTTAATACTGAAGAAAACATTCTTTATCTATATGCCCCATTGTGAAACTTCCTTGTCTTTACAATAAAAAACAGAAGCTAACTTTGAATCAGGGCTGTCCCCACAGGAAATATTTTTAACCCATTAAGAATCGAACCCTATGCTAATTTCCCTGATTTGATCATTACACATTGTATATATAACTCTAACCAATAAATATGTGTAACCAATATGTTTCAATAATAATAAAAAAAATAAAACCCATCATCTTCCAGCCTTAAACCTAGTCTTCATCTATATTCTTAACTCAAATAATGATAATGCCATCCTGTAGTGGATTGAATTATGTCCTCCCAAAAGTCATTGAACCTTGAATTGTATCCTCCGCGTTTTATGTATTAGAAACTTAGCCCCCAACTGTGACTGTTAAGAGGGTGGGAAATCCTATTATGGTAACTGAAAAGTGGAGCCTTGAAGAGGTGAATGGTGTAAGACCATACAGTAGTGAATGGATTAAAAATCGTGGTCAAGGGCCGGCCCGGTGGCGCACTGCTACAGTGAGCCGCTTGGGAGCGTGGCAGCGCTCCCGCCGAGGGTTCGGATCCCACATACAGACCGGCTGCTCACTGGCTGAGCGAGGTGCGGGTGCAACACCGAGGGTTGCGATCCCGTTGCAGGTTCCGGTCCGGTACGGGCGCGACACTGAGGGTTGCGATCCGTTGCTGGTCACGAAAAAAGACCAAAAAAAGGAAAAAAAAAAAATCGTGGTGAAGGGTTTGGTTCTGAGGGCTTTAAAAGAAGAGGAGAGTATGTCTTGCTCTCTCTCTGTGGTTGCGATCCGTTGCTGGTCACGAAAAAAGACCAAAAAAAGGAAAAAAAAAAAATCGTGGTCAAGGGTTTGGTTCTGAGGGCTTTAAAAGAAGAGGAGAGTATGTCTTGCTCTCTCTCTGCTCTCTCACACTGTCTTGCAATGTGAGACCCCTGGGTTGCTGTTGCCACCACCAGATGGACTTTGGACTTCCCAGCCTCAGAAACTGTTGGCAATAATTTTTTTCATTATAAATTATTCAGTTCCACTATTTTGTTGTAAGCAACATAAACGGACAAATACACATCCATTTAGTCACTTTTCCAGTGGGGTCATCTCTGACCACTTCTCAAGTCCTGAGTATTGCTGAGTACTATTATCTTGCTAAGGTTTTTCAATTCCTTCCTCTCCTAAACTAGCTTCCGCCCCTGTTTTGACACCTCTCATCTGAACAACTGAAACAGCCACAAAACACTGGACCTTAGTTTTTTACAAACTTTAATTCATCTTTTACAAGTCACTAGAATCATCATCTAGAACATAAAATGATAGTATCACTCCTTCGCTCAAAAGCATTTGGTGATCAGTGAGCATTTGTACAACTGATAAAATATAAATCCTTGAGATCTTTTCTAACATGACCTTCTTGATTTGGCCCAACCTCTGACAGATTTTCCATGACCCCACCAAATATCCTGTAGTCTATAGAGGCTCACAGCATGTACACAACCTGCTACAGGGCCATCCCTTGGCTCACACCTTTAACTCAACTGGTTGACATACAACTTACTCCCTTTTAGCAGGTTCTTATGTGATTATTTTACATATTTTTAAAAATAACTATAAGTCAATTATCACCTCCTCAGTGAAATCTATGTTGCTACCCCTATTTTTAAAAATAACTATAAGTCAATTATCACCTCCTCAGTGAAATCTATGTTTTTTTTTTTAACTCAATTGCTTTTTCTCAGGAATCCCACATTTTGAAAAAAATACTAAGCATTAGCATGACATGGGACAAATAGCCAAGAGTTTCAACTGCCTGGAGAAGTGACACATAAGTTGTAGAAGGTAGACTGAATGGTCAGGTAAAGGGCATAAAGAATAATTACAATTTGTAATAATAAATATGCTAATAAAAAATAAACTAAAGAAAAAAAAAGAAAAAAAACTTGGAGAACATCACATAATATGAGGGTCTGTAAACAGGAGGTTCTTTTGGCAAAAATGGCAGGAGTAGAAACTGAATCCCCAAAACCAAGCAGGACAAGTTGTGTTGCAGCTGTGACCAGCAAAGGCAGCAAACCCTCTCCTATGGACTGTATTGAATTCCAAAGTTTATAAGATACACAGTTTTCATATTTTAACATTTCTGAACCTGGGATGCATCTTGCAATTGATGGCATCTTACAATTGCTGTCAGACAGGTGGTAGTTCTTATGTAGTTGCCAATGCCTGTATGTGTACAGAGTTGGTCAAAGTTCTTTGTATCGTTAGCACTTCAACTAAATGACATGCATTGTTAGTATTATTAAGGGATGAGTTTAATGATGTTTAAAATACTTTCAAAAAGATTATGTCATGAATCATCCCTGAAGCAAAAGTTATTGTGTACGTAGAAAGACATGAAAGAGAATAGTAAGTTATAATTTGATATCACTGAGTCAAATATTTGTCACTGGAACAATGGCATCAGCTCTGCACATATTCTTGCCAAGAAACAAACATGTCTCTTAAGATGGGAAGATACCCCAGACAGATGAACTCTGCTAATTTCTGTTCTGAGAAACTATTATACACGAAGCAATGTAACTGTAAGCAGAAGAAGTTATGAAATTCTTCAGAAGGAATGCAAAAGTATTGAGAGGCTAGTATGCACAACCCTTGCATAATTTAAAAAATGATTACATTTTTTTCATAATTAAATTGCCAGCTTTTTTTAATCTTTCTTAGTGTTCAGCTTAAAATTAATAGTATTTTGGATTAAATGAGTAAAGGTATAAGTCTCCACAGAACTTGGATCAATTTGGAATGAAGGAGAGGAGAAAAGAGTGGTAGAATTTTTTATTAATGATGTTTAAATCTTGAATTGACAAAGCTTAAGCTGGAAATAACTGAACTAACTGAAATTGGTAAGTTCAAGTTCTTCACCATTATAATTTAAGATATAGAAAAATTAAAAATGTTACATCCTTGCTCAACTACGTTCTATGGTAGTGACTCGTACAACCAGTACAGAAAAATCTATCTCTAATGAACAGCCTCATATGAAAACAAACATTGGTAACCACACAGCTAATGCCTTGATGGCTTCCGATGTATTTTAAATAGGCATGCAACATATTAGGGCTCTGTGTGCTACCAAGCTCAGTAGCTGAATACAATTTAGTTTTTATTAACTGTTAGAAATACTGCTTGATACTGGACAGAATGGTGGTCCCCAAATAAATAAATAAATAAAAGAATAAGAAAAATAAAATCCCCTGCTTTCTTACTGCAAAACCACAAATAAAGCTTGTAAATAAATCACTTAGAGAACAAAAAACGTTGGCCTAGAAGGGAAGCCTGAATTCTAGTACCATCTTGTTCAGTTATTTGCTGGATGTTCTACACTTTTTTGTTAAAAAGGGGATAAAACAAATAGTTTCCAAGAGAAGATTAAGGATTATCTTTTTACATGGTAGTCTTCAAGATGGAAATAGACAACAATT